TTGTTCAAAAATTCTTTATAAGATAGTGGCTAATACTTAAAAACTGACATGTGTGCCTTTCAGAATTGCTTTTAGAAACTGTTAGTGTTAGAGAACTGAAACAATAAAATGAATGATTATTTTGATAAATGAAGTTTCAAGGGACAAGGACTTTAGAATGATCGAATATCTGAAGTATTGTACTGTTTTATTTTTAGTTTACAGAATATCAGCTCGACTATGATGACCACTCTCCGAGCATTTTACTTATCTGGAGAGTAGAACAAAATCCGTCTTAGGGTTTTCTGTGAGCAAATTGGTTCCCATCTTGTGCCCATGAGTTTCTGGAAGATATGAGCTCTGAAGAATTCTAACCTAGAAACTAATGCGATACTATAGGTGTGATGACCATTCTTGGCCGTTAGCTTGGCTGCATCTGGACTTTGCTAAAATCCTAATGGCTGGGCATACCTGTGAGGGATTTTTCTTAATTAAATCATTTGAGGTGGGAAAATCCACTTCTAATTCGTATCTTTGAGGTGGGAAAATTGACCTTTAATGCAGATCCTTTGAAATGGGAAGATTTCACCTTCCATCTGGGCCACACCTTTTCCTAGAAGCCTATGTAAGGATATGGAAGAAGAAAGCTTACTCTTTTTTTGCCTGCTTGTTCTTCCTCTCACTAGTAAGTCCATTCCTTCACTGGTTTTTGAGCCTATTTTTTTGGGATGCTGGCATATACTGAAGACTAGTTGAAATATCCAGCCTCGTGACCTGAGCAACTATTAGATTCTTAGACTACCCATTGTTAGACAGTAATTGTTGGACTAGTTGAAACACAGACTATAGACACACACACACACATACACGCACACATTATTCATTCTCTAAGTTCTATTCATCTAGAGAACCCTGACAAATACAGATTTTTCTCTGGCAGCAAAACTTGGTAGTATAAGAGTAACCCAGGTAGTGCTGGTTGTGAAGGCATGAAGGGGTCATGGAGAACAGCTGAGGTTTGACATAGTGTGGCAGGGTTGGAGTTCCTGAAGAGAGCCCTGGAGAGGCTATTGGTGAAAGTGCAGATCAGCTGCATTAGGCAAGGGACCCTAACATTTTAGAGATGCCAGTGACCCATGGATGACTACCAAGGGTAACAGCAGGTGCGGAGTGGATCCAGTCTGAGCCGAGGAGACAGCCGTGTGTGCTGTAGAGGGCAGAGCAGGAGAAGTGACCCTAGTGCTTTGAAGGAGCCTAGACAGCACAAGTGGGTCCCAGATATTGGACACTGAGTTGTTTACACTGTTGGGGTTTCACTTTTGTTTTTGCATATTGTGACTGGGCAAGGTCTCTACCTTCTTGAAGCAAGACAGTTTTCAATTTAATTTTGATTTTTTGCAGGTATTCACAGTTGAAAAATTTTGAACTTTAAAAAGTGATTTTGGATTTTTAAAGTGAATCAATATTTTAAACAGACTGATTGTTAGCGCATTTAAATTTGTAAAGACTGTGGGAATTTTAAAGTTACTTATATTTTTAATGTGAGGTCTTGGGAATTGTTAAGAAAGGAAAAATTGTGGCCCAATAGTGGTGTCTTTATAGTGGTGTGTTTGTGTGTTAGCTTGACAAGGGATCAGTTGTTCTTTCTTGTTTTTTTTTTTTTAATGTCAACTTGACAAAAGTTAGTCACTGGAGAAGAGGGACCCACAAGTGAGAAAATGACTCAAGATCTGACAGTAGATGAGCCTATAGCACATTTTCTTAATTAGTGATAATTAATTATCCACAATGGACAGCCCGGCCCATTGTGAGTGATGCCATCGTGGGAAGTTGGTCCTGGGTTCTATAAGAAAGCAGACTAAGCAAGCCATGGCAGCATTCACCCGTAGCCTCTGCATCAGCTCCTGCCTCCAGACTCCCTCCACATTTGGGTTCCTATCCTGACTCCTTCAGTGATGAATGGTGATCTGGAAGCATGAGTTGAAAATCCTTTCCCTTCCAGTTCCTTTGCTCATAGTGTTTTATCCCACCAATAGTAACCCTTCCCAAGACAATGTGCTCCTATGGATGAGGTCTTCATATTTACTTCTGAAGTATTTATTTTGTGTGGTGTATATGTGAGTGTGTATGTGTGTACGTGTGTGTTGGTATTTGCATAGGGGTTTGCATGCAGAGGTCAATGGACAGCCACAGGTGTCTGCTCTTGACTTCTGCCTTGTTTTGAGTCGGTCTTTGGTGTTTGCTGTTTGTTTCGGCCATTGTTCAGCATCCCTCAGGCTGGTTGGTTATGGCTTCTAGGAATTCTGTGTTTTCTGTCCCTAAGTATGAGTGCCAGGGTCACAGATGTGTACCACTAACACCATGTCTGACCTCCTCATGAGATCTGGTAATCTGAACTCAGATCCTCAGGTTATTGCTGCAAGAGTTCCTAGCTGCTGAGACATTTCCCTGACCCCTATTTACTGTTTTCAAGGGAAATATTTTTTATATATCTCATCAAGGAAGTCATAGATTAGTGTGTTAAACTTCTGCATGTCAGGACTAGCTCTCAGAGATTTGAGAAACACCTCAATTGAATAATGTAGCCTCTGGTAGACCCGTGATCAATTTAGACCTCCTTTGTTTCGCAGTCTGAGGAATCAAAGGCTGCCTGGACAAGAATGCCATACCATGGAACAGAGAGGAAATGGGTTGCCCATGGCCCCTTATCATTCAGGTCTCCTTTGCCTGTGCCTCCTATACTGAAGAGCTATGTCATAGCCATTCTTTGGAATGAAGTCTTTCTTAGCCAGAGAAAAGATTTCATAGCACTTATTGACTTTGGAATGCATTCAATAGCTGATGTCAATTGAAAATCATCAGTGAGATTTCAAGTAGTTACTTCATGCCCCTGAGTGAAAGACAAAGTCAGCCACCTCCGCCATCACCTCACTGGGGTCGGAAAGAAGAACCCTAGTCAGATGTGGTTATTGGTGTTGACTGTCTGGAAGACGGTGATAGGAATGGAGGAAAGTGAATGGCCTGTGCATCTCTGGAGCAGGCATATTCTTCTTAATGGAAAAATTAAATAGCTAGCCCGCCCCTGGCATCCTTGTCTGACTGTTGGCAGCAGGCATGTGGACTGAAGCCATTGAAACATTTCAGGAAGCCAGACTCACAGATGAGTCACAGGAAACCACTGACAAATGGCCTTGGCCTCAATCCCTTCACCCAAATGAGAAGCCTGTAAAGTGATACACGCTTTCTTATGCTCTCCCTGGGATGAACTGGAGATGGCATCTTAAATCTCATTATTTTCAATATATTGCTGTTCACTCACGGTGTGAGTCAGTTGAAAATCTAGATGTATGACTCCTCTCTACATCACAAATAGGCACAGTGATACTAAATTTAAGGAAAATGCCTTGATCCAGAGCAAGGCCTTACACATGCTGCCTCCTCTTCCTCCTCCTCCTCTGTCCTCTTCTGGTTCTAGGAATTGAACACAGGCCCTCACAGACAAGAGGCAAGAGCTTATCACTCCCAAGCCTCCAGCCCTCTTGCACTTCTCGTTTGGAGACAAGATCTTGGGAGTTTCCCAGGCTGTCCTTGAACTCTCTTGGTAGCTCAAGCAGGTCTTATGTTGGAATTTTTCACGGTAGCACTCAGAACAGCTGGAATGACAGGCATGAGGCATTAAGCTTGGCTAGTCATTCTTGTTGTAGATCTTTAAGTCGCTGAGATGACGCTGATGGCCACAGTGTCTGCTGTGCAGGCCCGAGGACCAAAGTTCAGTTCCTGGTTCCCTCAGTGGAAGGAGAGGATGCTCCTGAAGGCTGTTCACTGGGTCCCACATTCCTTCTCTCTCTCTCTCTCTCTCTCTCTCTCTCTCTTCTCTCTTCTCCCTCTCTTCTCTCTCTCTCTCTCTCTCTCTCTCACACACACACACACACACACACTGTAATATTTTTAAGAGTTAAAACAAAAAACATACCGTTTTTGAAGGGCATTTGTCCTTAGTGTCTTTCTTGTTGTCATGACAGAGTGATGTGACAAAGGTCATCTAAAGGCTGTGTACCTAAAGGCCCTGTGCTCCTAGCTCAGGGTACCATCCATCACGTGGGAAAGTGAAATCAGAGCTGGAAGTCACTGGTGACATCACATCCACAGTGGAGGCTGGCAGGGCGGGATGCTTGTTTGCAAGAACTGAAACTGTTTTTCTCTATTTCATACAATGCACGATATCTGCAAAGGACATCGTCCCGACTGCAGTGAAGATGGGTCTTCCCGGATGGATTGTTATAATCTAGACAATCCCTCACAAACCTTCTGGGAGGATACTGTTAATCCAGACAGTCCTTCCCAGGTATGCCTGGAGCCCTGCCTCCCAGGTGATTCTAGATTCTGGAAAGTTGACAGTCAACTGATGGAGGAAGGTCATTGGCTAATAAAGGAACTGCCCTGGCCCATTTTATTGGTTAGAGGATAGGTGGGAGGAGAAAACAGGACAGAACGCTGGGAGGAACAGGAAGTGAGGTCAGAGACTCCACAGCTCTGCTCTCCTGAGCAGATGCCTCAGCAGAGACGCCATGCTCCTGGCTCCTGGGCAGACGCACGCTATGAAGCTCCGACCCAGGATGGACATAGGCTAGAATCTTCCCGGTAAGACCAGTTCTCACAGATTATTAGAGATGGGTTGATCGGGATAACAGAATTAGCCAGTAAGGGCTAGGGCTAAAGGGCCAAGCAGTGATTAAATGAATACAGTTTGTATGTTGTTATTTCGGGGAAAAGCTAGCCGTGTAGGCAAATGGGGTGCTGGGGACGCAGCCCCACTGCCCTTATTACGTCAGTCAACCTTCTCACCATCACAAAACTTTAGAATACTGAGAATATTTATTTGTCCAAAATGAATTTTATTTTACATTCCATTGAAAAATTATTAAAGCTAAATGGTCAGTCTTCCAAACACCAAAAGGGTAGTATGAGCTTTCAGTTGTGAGAGGTTGTGTGTCCTTACCATCTTCTCTGGACAATTACAGAGAGATTCTGGAGCTCTTTTCTGGAGACCTCCCCCACTTGCAATCCAGTCACACTGTGGCTGCCCTGACAGCCACCCCAGTGCCCACCCCTCGGTCCAGAAGTATTGCATTCCCAGTTTTGCAGAAGATAGTCCCCATCATCAACTGTCATGGTTGAATCCCAAAGCCCATCCTCTCTCCTTCATCGATGATAAAAACATTGCTGCTTCATGGATTTCCCATGTGTTCACAAACATCACGCAGCTCAATCAAGGAGTGATCATTTCTGTAGATTCAGAAAATGGACAGTAACAGGTAACCAGAGACAGTGGGGTGTGCCTGCTCTAGTGACCTTGTATCTTTGAGGAAATGAAATGTTTTCTCAAAGTCCTGAAGACCCAGAATTGTGTTGGCAGGGATGCCCCTTCCTTCAGAGGAAGATGGGCCAAGAAGAGTCTTCCTTGCCTCTTTCAGCTTCTGGTGATGTCTGTTAATTCACGGACCTGTAACTCCAGGTTCTAAATATTTGCATCGAGCCCCCTTCCATGTTTCTCAGAGTGTAGTAATTTCCCCCTCTCCTTTTCTTTAAATAGAATGATCTAGTTTTTTTTGTTTTTTTAATTTTTTTCCCATTTATTTATTTATTAAAAATTTCTGTCTCTTCCCCGCCACCGCCTCCCATTCCCCCCTCCCCCAATCAAGTCCCCCTCCCTCGTCAGCCCAAAGAGCTATCAGGGTTCCCTGCCCTGTGGGAAGTCCAAGGACCACCCACCTCCATCCAGGTCTAGTAAGGTGAGCATCCAAACTGCCTAGGCTCCCCTAAAGCCAGTACGTGCAGTAGGATCAAAAACCCATTGCCATTGTTCTTTAGTTCGCAGTAGTCCTCATTGTCCGCTATGTTCAGCGAGTCCAGTTTTATCCCAAGCTTTTTCAGACCCAGGCCAGCTGGCCTTGGTGAGTTCCCGATAGAACACACCCATTGTCTCAGTGTGTGGGTTCACCCCTCGCGGTCCTGAGTTCCTTGCTCTTGCTCTCTCTCCATCTGCTCCTGTTTTGAACCTTGAGATTTCAGTCCGGTGCTCCAATGTGGGTCTCTGTCTTTGTCTCCTTTCATTGCCTGATGAAGGTTAATATTCAGGAGGATGCCTATATGTTTTTCTTTGGGTTCTCCTTATTTAGCTTCTCTAGGATCGCTAATTATAGGCTCAATGTCCTTTGTTTATGGCTAGATACCAAATATGAGTGAGTACATCCCATGTTCCTCTTTTTGGGTCTGGCTTACCTCACTCAGGATAGTGTAGAATGATCTAGTTTTAAGATCCTTAGATTTACTAGATCCATAATGGCTGTTTCCAAGAATGTTCTATTCATAAGCACCTGTAGTTACCTCTTGAATGTGTCTACTTGGGTACACAATTCATCCACCACGTGGCAAAGGTAGAGTTGTGATGAATGAAATCACAATATCTAAAATTGACATCCAACGTTTAATGTTTGGGGATTGATATTACAATGAAATTAATAAAATGTTTGAACCTCCCTTTAAGAAGAACATACATTAACAGAGCAGGTGCTTATTCATATGTAATTCCTGGGAGTCACTTTCTTTGCTCATATATTTAGAATAAACATGATGGGTTCACTGTGATGTACAGAATCACTGACAATGGGAGGAAATATGTAATTACAGAATGTATTGCCTTTACGGTGAGTCTGAAGTTCCTAGGTTGTTCCTTAAATTGTCCATCACAATAATTTGAAGAAGTGAGTCTTCATATTCAAATCTGAATTCTCAGTGTTTTGGCTTCTTAATAGTGTGTTTAACTTTACCACCCATAACTATAATAAGGGGCATAATCATCCTCAGGTATTTTAAATCATCATTCACTTCTCCAGCCCACAGCCTGTAGCACTAAGATTGCGAGGAAGGAAGCAGGCTGCTCTCCCTGGGAGGACTGGCGGTATTCTGCTAGAAATAACAGTATTCGGGGAATGAAAGACAACAGAGATTTGAAAAATACTGATTCTGCCAACTGCCTTCAGTTTCCTGAGTATGAACATTTTCAAAACAATTAATTTTAATGAACCAGGGCCTTTGTCCTAACCTGTGGGCCAGACAGCTGACTGGGCCAAAAGAGATCTCTCTCCATCACTGGTTTTAGGGAGGAAAAGTGACCCAGCCCCCTCCCCCCCAGTTGAGTTTTCAGCTACTTCTAGTTCTGGTAAAGAATCAAGTGTTCCCATTTACTGTCCCCTTCCGCTGTTAAATATGCTGCTCATCTTATGCATCCAGCCTTCTGCATTTGTGTTCTAATGAAACCTTTCGTCAGCCCCTCTGTGCTGACCCTACCTACTTATATGTGAAATAAAAGGAATGTATGTTTCCCAAGACTAAAGACCTTGGGAGTTTCCTGATGCTGTATAGAAATAACCCCAACTGTGACTTCTATTTGAACAAAACAATTAATAGCTTTGAAAAATACAAAATTTCTTTCCTTGACAGTATTACCTCATTTCCCCATGGTAATGTCTCCTTTGGCCTCCTGACACCTGGACCTGGCCAGAAGCAGCTTCCAGGGTATGATGACTTCTACAATAGCTCACTGCTTCAAGAGTTCATGGAAGCCACTCAGGTGAAGCTGTACCTCCACAAGCAGTAGTGTCCAGCCGAGCACACTGCTGACTTGAGACATAGACACTACGCAGTGGATGACATCACCATCAGTCGGAGGGAGTACTCGTCCCCAGAGGGATGCATGCAATGTGGTTTTCACCGTGAATGTTCTTTTAAACCAGTGTCTGTTGTACATATTTAAAAATATATAGATATATAGTAGCTGAGCTTTTGGAGCTGGCCAGATTCTGAGCTTTATATTCTAAAATGACTTCTTCTGCAATTTTACAGGGAGCTTTTCATTTGATGCCTTCCTATATTTCATATAACCCTGTAATCAATGAATTTTCAGACCACAGTCCTCCCAGAAAGCACAACATTCTAAGGTTGAGAATGCATTTAGTGGTTAATCCTCAGACTATAAGAAAAAAAGTATGATACTATAAATATGACATTGGCAAAAATGTATTGTCCATTTTACTTAGTTTGGTTTAGAATATAATTTTAAAATATTCTCTATATTAAAAAGCAGAAGCAAATTTTGTTTTGTGACTACAGTACCAGGTAGTGTCTAAGAGTGACACTTGCTCTTCTCAAAGTCATAGTTCAAAGTTCCATAAGGTTACCTGTCTGTCATCAGAAGAGAGAGATATTTTGCCTTTAATTGTTGATAGATTCATCATTAGAGTTAAAAACATGACTCACAATGAAAAAATAACTTCAGGGGCTGCAGAGATGGCTCAGTGGTTAAGAACACTGACTGCTCTTCCAGAGGACCCGGGTTCAATTCCCAGCACCCATATGGCAGCTCACAACTGTCTGAAGATCAGTTCCAGGGGATCTGACACTTCACACCAATGCACATAAAATAAAGTTAAATAAACCATAAAAATATTTTAAAAAAAATAACTTCAAATCTTGGCAGTATACTGTTTGGTGTGGCAAAGTATATATTCAGTATACTTGAAATGGATTGTTCAACAAAAATAGTATACCTTGAACATTTAAAGAGATAAAATAAGAAGATCCAAAATATCAACACTTTTTTATGTAATATAATAACAAGAGAAATATCATTAAATCATATTTTTTTGTCTTGCTCTGAAACAAAGGGCAAACATTGAAATCCACAGTTTCTTCTTAAGTATAGCTTGACTGGTTTCAGTGAATGCCTTCCTGTGGCAAATTCCACATGGTTGCAGGGAGTCACCATACCCCATCTCACTTCCCTTTCCAAGGTGTCTTCACAATGACCTTTCCAAACCACTGAGGTTGGGTCTACACAATCACAGATCTGGGTTTGCCTTTCTCAAGTGTGCAGTGTGTATGCCCACAGGCTCTTGAATGTTCTGACAATGACTGGCTTCTGAGGTGTGTGGCTTGCTCACATACACAGGTGCCAATGCCATGGACATGCCCAGACCTGCGACCAGACCAGGCGTCCTTATCGATGCTTCTGCTCTCCCCAGAGCATCACCGAAGGGCCTCAGGTGTGTTGCTTCATCCAGGAAATCTAAAAGGAAATGGGAAGGGAGGTGACTAGAAAGTTAGTTTTGGTTCAGCTTCAGAACATACTTAAATGGATAAGAACTTAAAATATTATTGTGGAGAAATGCAGCTATTGATAGAGCTGAAATTTGTGTGTTTAAAGCTAATCTCAGAGAAGCTGCGTCTGAGATGAAACTCTAAGGATTTCCCCCTTTCTCTCTCTCTGCTGGTTTATCCGCATTGCATGCTGACTAAAATCGCATTTAAATCAACCTGATAGAGCAGCTCTGGCCAGTGAAAGCTTCCATTTCTTCCTCTGGAAAAATACTTGATGGACAGATCCTGTAACACGAGGGTGGGGTATGCACCTGCAGTGCCAGCCCCGGAGAGAGGAGATGGGCTTAGAGTGTTTGTATCACAAGGACAAGGACTTGATTTCATCCACAGCATTCATGTGAAAACCTGGGCATAGCCGTGTACACTTGTCAGCCCAGCTTTAGGGAGGCAGAGACAGGTAGATCTCTGGGGGCTCCCTGGCCAGTTAGTTTAGCATATTTGGTGAATTCCAAGCCCAAGGAAATGAAGTGGACAGAGCCCGAGGAACAATACCTCAGGTAGTCTTCTAGCCTCCATATGCCTGTCACATGTGAACACCACCAAACATGAATAGGGACAAACTCCCATAGGCCTGGAGTATGTGTTTATCAATTTCTGGTTTAGGTCTAGCCAAGAGAGACATTCTCGGCCTGTGTGAGTCTCTGAGGCACACTGATGGAAGAGCCAGAGCAAGCTAACCTACAAGGCCATGTTTACGTATACAAGTGATGCAGGTGTAGTTGCAATACACTTTATAATATTTGAAATTTAATGTTAATAAATACGACCCAATTGCTATAGAAAAATCATTTGCAAATTGTCAGTTTTATTAATGGCATTTACAAGATTACATTCTTTAAACAATTTGTTAATTTTTTGAAGGATTAAAAACACTATCTGCTTATGAGGTGCACATGAATGATTGAAACCGAAGATTGAGTCACTTGTCATGTGTCTGCAGAACACATTTTCCCATTACTTTTTTAATTTTGTGTATCTGTGGAAGTGTGTGTTCACACATGTGTGCAGTATATTTTTGAGATATTTGGGAACATCTTGTCTCTGAATAAATCATCTCTCTGGATTTTGACAGGGTGCCTTGCTGTCCTTTGAGAGACTTCATCCAATCTAAATTGCTCTCAACTGCATCGTTAGTGTCTTGATGGCCAGAAGGCTCTCTACAAAGTGCATGTCATTGGCTACCTTGGGGTGTGCTGGAGATGAAAACAGAGGCTTGTGTGTGCGAGAGACACTGGTTGTCTCACTGAGCCACACTCCCAGCCTCTGCTGTTTTGTTGTTGTCGTCGTTCATTTGCTTGTCATTGTTTATTCTGAGACAAAATCTTCATGCAGTGCTCTGACTGATTACTTGCTCTGCAGCCCAGTTAGGACTTGAACTCATGATCATCTTGCTTCAACGCTTGATTACTTGGTATTATAGGCCCACACCACCAAATCAGGCAACAGAGAGTTTTTTTCTTTTGTTTGTTTGGTTGGTTGGTTTTTCAAGACAGGATTTCTCTTTGTAGCTCTAGCTGTCTGGAGCTTACTCTGTAGACCAGGCTGGCCTAAAACTCACAGAGATCCACTTGCCTCTACCTCCCAAGCAAATGACTTACAGTATTATTTCCAAAATTAATTGAATTAGATTTTTCATTTTGCTCTTTATTGAGTCATCAACACAAATGTGCATCTCTCTCTCTCTCTCTTTCTCTCTCTCTCTCTCTCTCTCTCTCTCTCTCTCTCACACACACACACACACACACACGCACACGTGTGTACATGCACAGACACACAAGCCTTTGCCAGTTGGTCCTAGATTTATAATTGAACATTTATTCCTACTGACGCTTTCTTCCTGCTGCCATCTTGTAACCCCTGATGGTCACTTCATCAACAGTCAGTGATTTCTTTAAATTCTTTTACTTTTTCTTCCAGTCCACTAAAAAGCAGTTTAAAAACTTCTCTGGGTGGACTTAGCAGGCTGTATTGACCTGAGTCTAGCTGGTACCCAGAAGCTTTACCCTGGCATGTTCTTTCTCATGACGTGGAGACACACACTTTCTGATAACGAGGTATTGCTTAGCTTGCCGAGCCTGATCTTAGAAGATGTGTTCTGTCTCAGCCTTCCCCCTTTTTTTCTCTTCTTCTTTTGATCCTTTTCATTCTATCCTTTCTAATTGTTGATGAGGTTGATATCTTATGATTCTTGAGTGATTTCAAGCCTCTTCTTAAAAAGAGGGGCATTAAGTGAATCAAGATTCATGATTGGTTTTGGAAGCCAAATTGGGGTTGTCATACTTGGACTCAGGTGGCGCCTTAGGGTTCAGAGCTAGTGAGTTAATTAACTATAATTTAGACTGAGACTATATTTCAGTGCTTCTTACTTAGATTGGAAAGTGTGAAAATGTAGACTTGTGTAATTTTTCTTTTATTTTGATAATTCATGACTTTAGTTATAAATAAAAATGCTGCATATACAATCTGCTTAGAAAAGTTTGCCAAATGCAGCTGAAGGGGAAATGTCAATAAACTATTAAGTTGTTTTCAAATCATCCAAGCATAAGTATTTCACGATCTGCATTTTACAAATGTTTTGGTTTAAGCCATTCCCATCCTCTGGGTCATAAAGCTCATTTTAAGGCCTGGAAAAGGTCTAGGAAGAATGTCCCCCATTTATAGTGTTAGACTAACCACAAAGAGTAGTTCTCAATAAACATGGCTTTTGTGAATTATTGCCGTTTGGCAAAACAATGAAACTGTAAGCATTTAAAGCATGCCAGTTCTTGGCAGTTTCTTTTCTATAAGAAAGTGTGTTTGGCAGAAGTGAAAGGGGCTGAATTGGAGAGAAAGGGGAGAAGCATAAATTCAGGAGTTTGCCTTGCATGGACACTGTCCGTGCTTTCTTCAGTTGTTCATAAAGGGACAAATTATGGTCCAAGAATGGGAGTAGTGTTAATACAGTTTTGATATTGTTTTTAAAGAAAATTTTATCAATTTTATACTGTTTAATCAGGGAATAGTCACTACTATATTAGATAACAGCAGTTGAGTGAAGGGAGCAACTTCCCTACTTAAAGAGATTCCTTGATTTAGTTTTGTGACCACACTTTCACCAGGGTGACCTCAAGAAGTGAACCATCCAGTCACTTGAGCTATGGAGACCTACGTAAAACATACAGATAGATTGACAGACTGACATACTACAAGATTTATTTCCCAGAGTACTCCAACTGGCTGTCTGTTGCTGCCAATGGCTAACTTGTATGCTTCAACCTTTCCTAAAAATAGAAATTAAGAATGAAGATCCACTCAACTTAGGACTAAAGATTGTGCTTGTCCTGAAATGAATTAAATCCGGACTTATTTTTTCTCTGTTTTTTCCATTATACTTTGTGATTGCTAGAATGTGGGCCTTGGGGAGGTTCCCTTAAGAATATTTCTGAGGAACTCTGTTACATTTCACATTATATTGCCAATTTAAGTTTTTGACATTAATGTATGATATATACCATAAAAATAATGGCATATTTCATCAATAGAGAGCACTTTCAGAGGGCTCGTGATGTGTCTTCCCAAGGAAGACCAAGGCAGCGCATGATTAATGTGCTCAGCCCGTTTGGAGATTGATCTGAGGCAAAACGAATTCAAAATACTAGATACTACCCATTAGCGTTCAAGCAGAATTAAGTATTTCAAAGTAGAAGTCAAGATTGCACAGTGCTGAATTTACATTAATCGTCAGGTACCTGGCAGGGAGAATCATGGTTTCCGATGATGACTTTTATTTGGTTAAGAGTCATTATTGCCAATGCACATATTTTGGGGATTTTACAAGTCTTTTATTTTGAGTTAACTGTTTATTCACACATAGTTATTGATAAGTAATGCAGAGATTTTGTACGCCTATGTTCATCTGCACCCACAGTAATATCTTCCAAAACAATCATGTTTTAATTTCTTTTACAATACATGATTTGTATACCATAAACCACACTCATTCAGTATCCAGAGTTGGAAGAGCTTGGGCAGCTCTGTAATCACAGCCTATCAGGACAGAGGGTGAATCCCTCTCCCCCACACGACCTTACATCTTCTGACGTCAGAGCTCCACCTCCACCCCCAGTCCCATTTAATGTCCACTGCTGTCAGTATTTACTCTGCTGGTACACAAGCTTTAAAATCTCACCCTACTGATTTTCTCATTAGATAATTTTCTAAGGACTCCTGGCGATATCTTTATCAAACTAGGGAGCTTGCATTTCACTTGGACAGGTCACCAGCTTGATTAAGATCCATCTGAGAGTATAGGTTGAACTCATAAAGCACAATAGGACCTAGGAATTTTGCAAGTTTGGCATTGTATATTTATATATTTGCTGACATGGTTGCATAGCATTATCTACCTTCTTGTTCTCTTACCTTCGTCTCAGATGCATTTTTATTTATTAGTGCACTTTGGAGAGAAGTTCTCAGGAGGTAGCCTAATGCTTGTTTTAAGCAGAGACAACCTTTGAACTCCCGATGCCCCTGCCTCCACCTCTGAGGAGCTGTGGAGCTGTACCTGTAAACCTTTGCCACAATGCCCGGTCTTATCTAGAACTCAGATGTTTTAAGGGTTCAAGTGTTGATTGGATCGACTTTTAAGAAAGGTGTTACTAGGTGAACCTTGCATCAGCATGCATTTTCCTTTTCCTTTACCGGCTACAGTTCAAGCCAAGAGTGATGCAATGACCAGGATGTGGGCCAGCACTGGCACTCTGGCTGCTTAGCAATTCCTTCGTCATCCTGGGACATCATTACCTGTGAGGGGTGCCAAGCCCTTTAGAGCAATTTATTAGTGACCGTGAATGATTCTCTTATTTTTTGGCTCTAATTTGTGACCCTTTTATATCATTAATCCTGG